GGTATTGTTAGAAACCAAGAAAGAGTTTCTCAAGCTTACAAAATGTCAGTGAGTAAGAAATGAGTACATACCAACCAACAACACTTCCCTTTGTTGCTAGAAACGAACAACACTTTTAGAATTGTTACTCAAACATACATTGAAATTCTGATATTTTTAGTATTTGTTTCTTTGGGTGATTTGACTCTTTCTTTTGGGTGACAAAACTAAAAATTTCAGGCAACCTGACTCAGGTTTCAGGTGACATGACTTCGGGCAAGATGACTCTCAGGTAACATGTCTGGTTACCGTCATGTAATATCTCAATTATTTCATTGAAATGTGTATATCATTCATTTAAAAAAACGTTATCATTGAAATCTAACACCTTTTCATGCTTAGTAAGTCCATTGGTTGTCTTTTGCTTATTCTTTCAAATTCTTTCTTCAAGATTGGCGTCTGTAAATATAACAGGAGTTACATAAATTAGTTTTGGTTGATTGTTGAGTGACTAAACTTAAAGGACAAACTATTTCATCGTGAAATGACATTCACCACGCATCTCCTACCTCAAAAGCCTCAAAGTCTGGAGTAGCTAGGAAATCTAAGTAATTCTTTGTTGGTCTGTAACGTCTTGTTTCTTCTTCAACCAGCTGATTTACCTGATTGCGACGGAAGAGCAAAAGGGGTATATCGTGTTTGATTAGTAGTAACAACTTCACTTATTGCTACTGATTGCTAGCAAAAGTAATCACGGACCGAACACATTTTTGGGCACTCGTCTTCGAAACAAAGCAATAGCAAATTAAATGGAGCTCCACTTGAACCAGTATTGTGTGGTGAGTCACCTTAGACCTAAACTTTACTTAAACCAGGAGGAAGAACCCATCGCTGATAGACATGCTACGCGCATCTACTTTTTTGAGACTTTAATGGCAGAATAACTATAAGCCTAAAAGTTGTCACATCTCCCCTAAAACTGTGGATAGATAAACATAAATCCATTTCAGGACTAGTTAAATAACTTACCATTTCTCTAACCCCCGGATCATCGTATCCTTGATCATAGTAAGGTAAGGCGTCCGGCGCGACTTCATGAATGGCCGCCATGATGGTTCAATACCCACAATGCACCACTTCGAATACCCAGAATGCATAATTTCGGACGCACTATTCATATTGAATATTAAAGCTCTCAACAGATTGCAAACCCTGTCCTCCGTATGTGTGCTGTCATCCGCTTTCATAGGTTACCCTTTATCGGTTGGCTAAGACGTTTCCGGACGCTATCGTTCGATTTTGGACACCAAGCCCGATTTCGGATGTTATCGTCCCTTTCTAGACGCTCCCGTCTCATTCTGAAACCATCATCCGATTCCACACGCCTTCGTCCGTTTTCGGATGCTATTCTCCATTTTCTGGACGCTTTAGTTCAATTTCACACGCTTTTGTCTAGTTTTAGACGCCATCTTCCGATTTCGGACGCTTTCATTCGTTTCCGGATTTCGTCTGTTTACGGTTCAGGCGTTTCCATGCGAATTTAGACGCTCTCCTTTTTCGTCCAAATTTGAACGTTTCCGCCCGATTCTGTACAATTCCGAAAAGACGATTTCGAGCTGTTGAGTACGTTTTCGGGAACTATTGTTAGATTTCGTTAGATTTTTTCCACATAATTTCTCTAATCCTCCTAATAAACCTGATCGCGTTTAATTGACACGAGCAGAATAACAGGTTGACTTATTACGCCGTAAGCAAACTCCAAAATCAAATAAAAACAAACAAATAAATGCATTAAAAAGAGTCTGTTTACAAAATTCGCTCAGACGCAGGGCTAACGCTCGAAACGTCAGCTTTCAAACTCTCAACGATGCCCAATTTAAGTTATCAACCCAGTTGATAGTACCAAATTACCCTGTGATACTTTCCCCTCGACGAAGCACTATAGTTTCTTTAGAAACTACCCCTTGTTTGCAACTCCTTCATGGCACACCGATGGGGCTGTTGTGGTTCAATTTTATCCTTGGTTCAAATTTTATATTCTTTTGTTTTTGGGTATTGTAATATATGATAATGAGTTTGAAACAAAGGAAAATAAAATTTGAACCAAGGATAAAATTAAACCACAACAGGGCCAATACTCGCTAGAGTTTGTGGCTATTCACCTCCATGACCCTTCATCAATTGAGGATGTGACCATTCGACTTGAGCTTAGTAAGAGGATCTGAATGAGGTTAACCGCGGGCTGTACCACGGCAAAAAGGTTTACTGGTTAGGCGTAAAAATTGACAAAATTGAACCTTAAATCGGAAAAAAAAAGTTGGCTATGAAACTTTTTCTTTTAGTCGTAACGGAAATTAACTGTCAGCGGTAACTTGGCCACAATTTTAACCATTAACTGCAAGAGTAATCAACCCATTGAGACCCTCTAGTAACGAGACAGTCTAACTCTGAAAGGAATTAGTCTTCTAGTGCCACGATCCGACTCGCCTAGAAAATAATGGTAGTTATTTTTGTGGTTTTCTAACGGTAAAACCAATAAGTAACGTGTAAATGGCTTATCGAGAAAGGGCTCGAGACCCAAGAAGAATTGTTTACCTCATCCCGGAATCCCTCTCTCCAAGAAAATAAACATCTCGTAATCGTTGTTCTATCGTTTTCCAAAAGTAAAACTAAGAAGTAACTTGTGAATGGCATATCTAGAAAGGGATCTAGCCGGTATGTCCTGGGGGGGGGGGGGTAGGGAGGAGAAATGAATTCGTTTTAGAACCCGATAAGAAACAATTCACTCCAGGAAAGGAATAGTTAAAGAAGAGACAATAGGACTGGAGCCTTGTTTAAGCAAAGACCGCTGGACACAAATCAACAGACACTTAAGTAACGGTGTGCACTCTGTTCGCATTTGTATTTATAAAAAAAAAAAAGAAAATTGGTCAATAAATACAATGAAAAAAAATTCCTTCCCTTCCACAAACTGACATTCGGTGAAAATTCAACCATGTAGTCTACAAAGCTAAAAATTTACAACCACTATGTACACTGTTTACATTCAATAAAACGCGTAAGGTGTCCACACAGCTAAGTTGATATTGAAAAAAGTATGTCTACTTAGATTTCTTTAAAGATAAAACGAGAGAGAGAATCTCGATAAAAAAAGCTTTTAGAGAAACTCTAAAATCAGAGATCAACCTGGGCGCTCAAAAGGCAAGCTTAACAACTGAAATCTTACATTCAAGTAATGCAAGTTGGAAGGTGCAACTTCTTGAGACTTCACAACTTGTGGTTTAAACAACGGTAACTCCTTCACCTTCAAACAAGCACGCACCCTCAAAACCCATCCGTTGACCCTCCACGGTTCAACCTTTCTCTAGGCAGGGAGCACAGCTCCAACTGGGTTTGGAACCCACGACTCATCCTAGCAAAAGACTAACCGTACACCTTTTCTGTGTCCCTTTCATCACCAGACAGGGATAAAATCCACCCGGGAACTTTAAAACCCGCAACTCAGTCGGTGATGACTGGAACACCATACTACATTCACCAAACATGGAAAAACAATTCCAGCTTGAGAATCAATCCACCAACCAAAGCCTTACTACTCACTCGGCATCACTTCCCTTTCACAGTCACGCCCTTTGCAGCAAACCAACCTAGTCCAATTAGTCTCAAACCAAGGTCAATAGACATTAACTCAAAATATGCACATCCAAAGGATTCTTTTCCATCTGAGGCACCGAGGAACTTGTGATTCAGCTCAGATCACGTACAGCAACGACCTTTGAGCACCCATGGTTGTTTCTCGCTTAAGAACGGATTTTCTTGGCAAAAGTCATAAAAGAGCACGACAAAAATAACTTTTCGCGTAGAAATATTGATGTTCGGCCTCTTGGAATATTGTCCTTGGCATTGCATTTTTTCGATTTAAATTAATTATTTGCATTTTCCCTCGGCGCATCTTTATACATACTCCCTGGAAATAAAAGAAAATGATGAAACAAAATAAGTTGATTTGACCAAATTAATACCATACATGCATGCTGCATGACAGACGCCCACATGAAAGAGAAGAACGACGGAGCACCAAGAAGACCATTAACCCTTAAACTTCCATGAGTGACCAAGACAGAATTTCTCCTTACAATATCAATACAATATCAAGCAGACAAGTGATGAGAATAAAGTAAAATATCACCTAGGAGATTATAAGTTGATCCAATACCAAATTCTTCGAACTAACATCACAAGAACTGTATGGGAGAAAGTAAAGAGAAATACTAACGAGATCTTGGGAGTTAAAAGGGTTAACGAAGAAAGGATCAAGCGCCTTTTCGAATTTCCTTTGGGGTGTGGTAACCAGTCCTCCCTGTCTTGTCCCACTTCTCTCGGGAAAAAAAAAAAACTCATTCCCAGTACTCCATCTTCCCTCTCCTTCTCTGTCTCTGTCATATACAGAGCCTGAAATAAGCTCTTTTGATGTATCAACCCTTGAAGCCTCAGATTCAACACAAAATTATCGCACATGACTTTGATACGTTCTCTCGTAAAGGCAACTTGGTCGTAAGGCAATGGTCACCAGTTCTTTGATTCTTGTGACATTTCCTTGTGCTAGTGAGCTAATATTGAGAGGAGAATTTTGTTGATCATTCTAGTGGCTTTCAGGGTTAAAACTCATTTTAACAGCACAGCTTTGAGGACAAAAACAAAAGGAATAAATAAGTATGCTTGTTGGATTCCTTTCGTTTGTGTCTCCTAAGCCTCTATATAGGAAATTTAAGATATCAAAAGCAGCTTATTTTACTATTGCTGGCAAGCTTTATGTATCTCCTGCAAAAAGATTGCGCATAGAGCTAGTGGGACACAGGAAATTTCTAGCTCCCTCTTCTTTGCCTGGGAAATTTAAGCATATATTCTGTAACTTTAAGTGTCAATTGGGTCAGCAGTGATCAAAAGCGAATTACTTTGACAAATAGCACAACTGCAGAAAAAGCATTGCTACATATGATAAGCTGGCTAAAGCTAAACGTGAGGTTATCTTCACTGGAAGACAGAATTATTTGGTTCTTGAAATTCTTTGGTTTGTTGTCTTTGTTCTTCAAGAGAAAAAGCTGTAAGTGGAAATTACTTATCTATATGAACGTTTTTAGGCCAAAGGTTACCGACAGAATAAATATTACAGTTATTAGTGGTTAAAAACTTTAAGCGGTAAATAAAATACATAAAACTTTTGAACACTAGACAAACAGAGTTTGAATTTCAGAGCATCACTTCACCAAATTCATTTAGGTAATCACATCAATTCAGAATCAAGACCTTCATTCCTTAAATAAATAATTAACATGATCTTCAGGATTGGTTTGTAGGTAATTGCGAGTCCATTAAATCGGTTATTTTTCATAGCAACTGGAGCATCACGGCATAGTTGCAGCGCAGTTTAGGAGGGTAGAGGTTTACTTCAATTTTTCACAAACAAAGGTAAAAATATACAAGCATTGAGCATGCTGCTTGTAATCACACACTCAAATACCTGCCGACCGCAAGCCTTGATGCATTTCAGGACTACAACTTCTACCTAAAACACAACATGGCCTTTAAGATTGTCCAAAACAGTATGTCAACAATTTGATGGTGCAGTTAACTCTGTGCAAAGAGTTATCATGGTGCTTGTGTCACACAGGAAAATAAAAGCTTTGGTTTCAGAGAAGGAGGGAATATAGAGATGGCTTCCGCTGCAGTGAAGTACTACAGCAAAGTCAAAGAAACTTGCACAGCAGTTGTGTGCAACTTGAGTTGCTTAGTAAAAAGCATAGCTTGGATTTAACATTTCATGGACAATTCTGCATCATGATCATCTAGGGTAGAAATAACTTTTTCTCTTTCATATTCCATGCTAATATAGATCTGGAATAACATATTAGGATTCATTATTGTAGTTTCAAGTTTAGACTTTACTTTAGGGGTAGAATTTGTTTCATGCTGCAGTTCTTTCAATTTGATGGCTTCAAACTGTCTTACTTTAAAACACTTCCTACAATTAAACAAGTCAGTAATCCTGACTTTAATTCTAAAGACAACAAATGGTTGAGAATTTCAAGAAAACGATATAAAACTTTTAAAAAGTTTACCATCTGATGCCTATGTTATAACTTAGGCTTTTTAGTATTATGAAGATCACCAACTTAGTTAAGAAATTAAAATTTGAAAAGAAAACAATTATTTTAAAATTTGTAAAAACACCACAAATGAGATGTTAAACAACAATGTAGAAACAGACATAGAACTTTATTCATTAATACTGTTAAATATAAAATATTAGATATTAAATATTAAATATTAAATATTAGATACAAATTTATTAAAAACTTTAAAATTAAAAAAAAATTAAAGCTATGCTTGGTAGGTTAAAAAAAAATTAGAAGAAATTGATTGTCTCGTGTAATTTTTGATGTGATTAAAATTAAAATTGTTTGTTTCCTTAATTCTACCAGATCTAACTTTTACAATGCACAGAATTTAAGTCCTTGCAATTTGCTATCCTGGTTATTATACTGCACATTTGTTTACTCTTAGAAAAGAAAAGAAAGAGTGACAGCTTAAAGAGAAATTGCATTCATTCATTAAGTTAAATTTAAAAATTAATAAATAAAAGACAATTGGCAGAGCTGGACGCTTAAACGACTCCATAAAATATATAGATTTAGCCAAGCCTAAAAGCGGAGCTCGCATTCTTTTTTTTCCCCCGCACGTCTCAAGGGCACAACGCCTTGCCCCGGCTAGGACTAGAACCCGGGTCGTCCGACTCGGAGCCCGGTGCACAGTTGACCACGCATGTTAAAAGTAGCACCTTGTACGGTCGTACGGTCGTACATCCAAATTTTTTTCGGCTTGATGGGTTACTTCTCTTTTGTATAATTATGGGGCTACGCTCTGCGAGCTCCGCTATTACTGGAAAAATATGACCACTAAAGTTTCAGAGATTACACAATAAAATTCTCAAGATAATTGACTGAAAACAAGATTCATATGGTATTTGTATTATATCTTTTGGAAATAATATTCTCTTAAATTTAAAATTGTGCCAGAGTAAATTGTAAAAATAAATTCACATTTATTTATCATCCACTTCCATTGGGAGTTATTCATGTTATGTAAAATAAATTTATTTAGAGATTCAGAATTTGGATCAATATCTTGCCAATCTTACCATCCAATAATTTGTGATTTTCATTTATCCCAAAAGGTTTATGTCAAGGAAGGATAGGTGCAAAAGCATAAATCAGAAGGAGCTCACTAAGAGTCACTGCCACTCACTTCTCAACAGTCCTCTTTAAACATGCACACCAAAGGGTGAACTTGTCCACTCTGAGCCTGAGCTGGTGTTTCAAGCATTTCAAGTGGTTCAAGATTAACTGGTTTCCCTTGAGTCAACATTTACTATGGAATTTTTCTGAATTTTTCTGAATTTTTCTGCAAGTTTCAACAGTGACTCAAAAGCGACCTTCTTACATTTCACACCAATCCCTTATTGACTGTAATTGATCCACTTGTTACAAGGGTTTACTAACCTACAGGTTGAGGCCTGAAAATGGATTATAATTAAAATTCTAGATGTTACAAAGTGAGATTAACATTCATGACATTGCAGGTGGTAAGTTGCAATTATTGGCTCCATTAGAATGATCACAGATTAACACGTCTGAACTAGTGGTGTGTGAGTGCTGATATAGAACGGTACTTACAGTTTCTTGTGCCTGGCTACCACCAAATTAAAAAAAATTTTCTAGAGCATTTTGTCATACTGAAAGACAATTTATCATTTAGCATGCCCTCCATAAATTTCAAACCAGGGATAAAAGCAATTCAAAGCAAAGGCTAACAAAAATTATCAAGCCAGTTTTGACATGAAAAATTATAGCTCAAGACATTCAGATGCAATCATTTGGTGGTAACCAGTTCTCAAAATAATCAAAGCATCAACTTTCCACAAACAAAACTACTTACGAAGATTCCAACATGAGAGACTCCTTAAAGAAATGCCTTGAGGCTCTTTTAGGATCAATATCAGGACCAGACGCAATACCATCCTTCAGTTCTCCCACACCTCGACTAGACTTCCTGCGGAGTCGACTAAAGCGAGATCTTTTCTCTTCTCTTTTATAGCGAAGTTCATCAACAGAAGTAGGAGAAATGGCATCTTCATCAGTCAAGGGACTTGTTGGTTCCAAATTTTTTGGGTGTGATTTATCTTTGTCCACCTCTTTATCTTTATTTTTATCTCGATTACTTGTCAGGTCTTTTCCTATATTCAGAAGGTCTGAAAGAGACATGCTCTTTTTTCTGGTGCGCGACAATGAATTACAGTGTTCCTTCTTTTTTTCAGCCTTTGCCTGGGATTCTTCCAGGTCTACACTTGTGGGATAGTGTGCCTTATCAGGCTTCACAGGAAGTCTGGTAGACTCAGAAGACCTTTTTGTAAGTTTCCCCACTTTGTGCCCACGCTCTTGATTTGAAATTGTAGCTTCTGTGGCTGATGCAGAAGATGCATCTCGAATTTTTTGTATGATTCCATTTACATCATGACTGTCTCTATCACGATGTCTTATTATGTTCTCAGGTCTTGTCTTTCTTGAAATCACTGGTGATGATCTTCTTGGTAGTGATATACGCTTGCGTGGTTGTTCTGTCGTTGTTATTGCAGATTGGATCTTATCTTGAGCAATAAGTTGAGATTTTATCAGTGGCGGTTGTTTGGAGGGTCCATTACTTTTAAAAGTTGCCTCCATAGAGTCTGATAAATTTTGCAGGGCTTGAAATTCTTGCATTTGACCCACCTGTGGAACTGAAAGATCCATTCTACAGTCTTTACTTGGTGATAAATCACCTTCAGACTCGAGGGGTTCCTCAACAGAATCCTCCTCTTGTTCTCCTGCATATTCGCTGCTTTCATAGTCATTATCAGACATAGAAGATGAGACTCCTTTTTCAGGAGATGAAGGAGGCTGAATATTATTCTCCTCAGCAGGAGTGCGGGGTGATTCTCCACCAGAGTCTTCCTGATTTGGAGACTGAGGCTCAGATCTGACTTCGTTAGTTTGTTGATAATTTGGTGGAGGAACTAATGAAAAATCAACAGCTGCATTTGCCAACGGTGACTGAACCTCTGAATCACCTGCTGAGTCATTTAATGATGCAGATGAAGAAGTGACAGATCCATCCTGCTCCTCTGTAGTTCTCCTCTTCATTATGATGGCTTCCCTTAGACTTGCCACACGCACAGACGTGGGCCCTTGTGGGGCTGATGAAGATCTCGACAGGGAACTAGAATCCACAACACGTGGTCGTTCCTTCGGAGGTGCGGAGGAGGACCGTGATATCTTTCCAAGAGATTCAGACCGTGACTTAGCCATTGCTCCCTCTAGCAACTGTTCATCTTCTACTGAAAGTATTTCTTCCTGTCGTTGTAATGCAGCACCATCTGTATATTTAGTTGATTTAGTTGCTACTTCTTTACCTCTAACTTCTGAGGAATGGGTGCTGCTTCCTGTGGTCAATGCCGAGTCAGAACGTGCACGAGAATTTAAGGTTGAAAAGTTCATTCCTAGCTCGTCTTCTGAATCAGACTCCACTGATATAATTGATGACCCAGATGATCTGCGGCGTTGAGGTCGAGGAAGTGCCGGTGAAAGTCCAGAGGGTGTAACAAGGCCTGAGGGACTTACAAGGTCATTGTCGTTGGGATTTTGCATATGGTGTACATTACTAGATCCCTGCCCCAATTTGGCAACCATGAACAATTTCTAAGACAATGAAAAAAAAAAACAAATACCTTAATATATGGATAAATTTCTAAGAAATAGTAATATGATTAGTTACCCTCATTCAAGAAAATTAAGTTGATATCTAGCATAAAAACTTCCCTTTCCTCTTTCCAAAATTAAAATACATTCTTATTCATGAAAGTACCAACACAATGGTTAGCTGAAATTATAGTAGGTATCCCTGGTTTTTCGGCAGAAAACAATATTTTAGGTACTGAAGATTCAGTTATACCTGAGCCTTTTTTATTGCATCCATCCACTGTGCCTGATCACTTGCCGTCCCTTGGAGAGCAAATGCTTGTACAGCTATGTTGTACTCATTCACATAAATAAGTAAGAAGGTCCCTAGGGTAATAAAAATAATCAAAGTTCATCATTTTCATTGCAACTTACATCAATTCCAAGGAGGCATTGACAAGTGGGAGTGGTACATTCAGATAAAACACACAGGAGATGCATTGCACACTATAATTTTTTTTCTAACTAGAGATGAGGGACATCTTCTTAAGGAAAACAAAAGGAACACAAAGAACTGTACCTCCTTGATCCTTGGCAGTGACTAGCTTATCCACTTGGAGAGGCTAAATAAAAAAGGAGCAGAACATCAATTTGATGATTATCAATGCTAATTCAAAAATTATTGTTTTATTCAATAATGATTTAACAATAATTGATAGTAATACATCAGAATCTGATGTACTACATCAGATCAATTTATATCACCACTTGAAGGGATGAGTGGATAACAACTTACTGCTAAACTGAATTCTCATATGATACAGAAATTTTCTGTTTCACATGACAATTTCACATTAGCATAATACAGTCTATGAAAGGTCACTTAGAGCTTTCTTTCTCATGCACCTTCTTTCATCATATCTTAATCTTCTTATGTACTGCAAAACCCTATGCAGAAGTACATAACTATTACATGGATCTCTGACCAGTTTGATGTAGTTGTCTGTAACACTACCCAAGGAGAATGGAGAGCCCCAGCAGGATGTGCAAGTTTAGTGTCTGACTTGATTTTTATTTCTTAAGAGTCAATAACACTTTTTGCTAACTCACCGGTTTGATCACTTTGAATTTATCAGCTTTCTTTGCTTTGGTTATGAGAAGTAAATCAGTAAAGAGAAAAACATAGACATCCATCTGCAAAGAAAAGATTTTTCAATTGAGGTCAACACGATGGTTGTTAGCCATTTCACTCCCAAGAGCTAATAAAATGCACCACCCTCTCAACTTCAAATCCCTTCAAAGTTAAACTCCAACAGTTTGGTTTGAATCAAGCAACAGCTACAAACTGACTCTTTTCTTTTTTTCTGATCATCTTTCTGTTCTCAAATGGGCTGACATTGTGAGGAGAAATATTGTCTGGTAACCACTCAGCGTGAAATGGTTACTATACAAGGAATAACAACAAAGCAGCAAGTTTCAGAATCTGACATCTAGTTTACCAGCAGTTATAGTTTGCAATTAGTAATGCCTTTTACTCACTTTTCCCTGTTTTTCAAGAAGCCTCAGATTTCCCTCATGAATGACACTACGATGTTGATCATCAGTTAAACCAGGCATAGGTCTGGTGAGGTCGTATGAGCTGTAATCTTGGAGAATCTGAGTAAAAAAGACAGAAATATTAGAGCCAATTCATAATCAAATATAATTTCTCTTGTTTCAATAACATGGTTTTTGTAAGATACCAATTGCACTACGAAATTCGCTTCATATCACCCTATAACTTTAATGATTTTCTATTTCCCTTTCAACCCTTTATATACTAATATCAGCATGCATATTCTCCAAAATGTATTCCATACACTTCCTATGGAACTGACAGGGGAGTTTTTCTATCAATCAAAAGCCTTTTAGTTGGTGACCATTTTCCTTAGTCTCATGACCTTAATGTCTTCTTGAGTGGCGTTACTGTAAGGAGAAACTTGGTGCTCATCACTCTTGGAGGTTAAAGGGTTAATTGTCTTTTCAAAATTGTCCACATAAAGAAGAGAGAAATAAGGTTTCCTTCCTAATACCTTTTCCATCTCCTCATTGACAGCTTCTACAACACTGTAGTTGTTGTGAATCTTCACTGCAGTTGCTTTGAGTTTTTCCAACTCGTGCCTCTCCTTCATGGCAGCATTTACTTTACTCACAAATGTTTCCACTTTAACTCTCTGCATTAAAGGGAAAAAGTAAACATTGTTACAAATTACAGTCACACCTGAAGAAGTACGTGAGCTATCTGAGTGAACTGACCTAATAGACTGTGAGCAAGTCCACATAACCAGTGCTGCAGGACATGTGTTTCTATGCCCATGTGAAAGATTTGAGACATGACAAGGAAAAGGCTTCTCACAGGCTTGCTTCAAGGACTCAGACTTTCTCGTGGCTAAGAAATGTTTGTGTAAGAGTGCCAATAACAAAAGCTTGCTTGCAAAATATAACTTCAAGTGCTTCTGTGTTTCTGGGGTTAGCAGAAAACAGTGCATGACATACATGTACTTAACATTTGTCTAGTTTTACACAAATCTTACCATTCTGTTGAGAACATCTTTAGTGTCTTCCTCCATGGTTTTGTTACCAATGGCTTTCAATAGAAGATGGTATTTTGTAACTCTTTGCATGGGCCAAACCAACAAGTCAGTTAACTTCAGCCGGTCAGTGCAAAACCTGTGATCTTCACACCACTACTCATGAAAGAAGAAACAACAACAATTAAATACAATAGTTAAATGCATTTGTACAGTGTGACTGTGCATAAGTCTTGAAAATGAGTTTTGTCAGTGACAGTGGCTAATATTGCAACAAACTTGAACAAAAGTTAAACTCTTGGTCAAATGTCAAGCATTTGGTTGATGAAAAATGATCAGTTGATTTTATGGTAATGTTATTAAACATGAGACTTAACCCTTTTCATCAGTATGCATATTTTACATTTTGTTCTCTTCATATTTTCCAAAGGTGCTGACAAGGAGAGGTTTATTTTATAAATCAAGAGCTTCTTTAGCTTTAAGTTGGTGATCATTTGCTTTGTTCTCATGATCTTGATGTTTGATTCAGGGGTGTAAAGTAAGGAGAAATTTGATGCTAGTAACTCTTAGGGAACAAGATGTGATTGATCTCTTTCAGACCTTTGGCAAAATAAGGTCATTCTGTTGAATAGGAATTTTTAATGTCCTTAATAGACTGTTTTCTTCAATTATGTTGTCACAGAAAAAAAGGAAATTGCTGATGTACGAGTAACAGTTGGAACTAAATCTATTCTAGTCCTCTTACAGTGATGTACGTCTTGAAATCTTCATTCTCAACCAGCTTTTCCTTGTAGTATTTCAAACATTTAGACTCCTCCATGCAGTACTTTATGTATGGATCAAACTGAGCCTCGAACTACACAAAAATAGCAAAGAAATGTTACAGATACATCACAAAAGAGCTGAGACAAGTTACCAATACTCAAAGTCTAGTTTAAGGCTTCATCATTCATAACACAGCAGTAATGGATGGCAAATGGCTGGTTTACATGTGACATGTGATTGAGGCCAAAATTAATATGTGAAAGCATGGATTTGACAGAAAGGCAAACATGATTCATAAATTTTAAGAACCAACATGCAGATTTTTCTCTTTCATTTTCATTTCATTTGCTGAAAACCTTAAGACTTCTCTGAAACCTTGCATACAAGAAGAGAAAATTGAAGTTTTCCCTTCTTAAATTTGTGACATGTGAAGAGTTGTTTACAATATACATGATGCATGAATTTTTTAAAAAACTCCAGCACAAAATGGGTCAGGACCCACCCCCCCTTGCCCCTTTGCTACCATCACTTAGCAGGGCTCTTGTAAACCTCATTAGCTGACTAGAGATATTCATTCAGATTCTACATTTCCAAGAAATTTTATCTATGAATTTTTCCTCTCACCATGTTGAACCCAGCTTCCATATCCAAAGGATTTAGCAGATCTTTTGTTTTCCTTGCCTGCAAGAAAGTGGAATAATTAGACAATTTTCTACCTATCTCTTATCTCTAAAACACAGGTGAAAATGTTATCATTAATAAAATACATGTACCCAAGAAGCAGGTAAAAATACACTTACATATTCAACAACCTTGCTAAGATGTTCTGTCCAAAATGCTAAATTGACTTCATATATTTGTTCAACATTATTAAACAACTTAGATGCCTCAATCTGTGTCACATGGAAAGCAAAACATCACCATTAGAAGGATACAAACAGAATGATGATGAAGTTAGAGAACAGAGTCAAAGGAAAACTACAAAGAGATTGAGAGGTCACCAGAGAGGGGGATTTTTTTATTAGGAAAGCATATGGAATCTTAGTTAAATATAACAAGATCAAACAAAAAAATGTGATGGAGCCTTCAACCAGAGATTATGAAAGACATGTCTTCATTCAGTTAGGAAGTACATTCAGTTTTACATTTAGTTTATTTTGATCACAATAATAATAATAATAATAATAATAATAATAATAATAATAATAATAATAATAATTTATTACTTATTGGGTGCAAATTAATATCTGAATATGATCAAATGCACCTTACAACACTTTGTGGGGGACTTTGGTCAGACTGCATTGAGCAATTTACAATTCTCTTTTTTTGGAGGAGATTTGGCAGATGCCCCATATTTCAGAATCTAGGGCAGACCACAACACTGGGAACTATGACCCCTACTTTTTTCAATAAGTGTGTGGGTTCTTTAATGTCCCCCACTAACCAGTACCAAGAAGATGCAAGAGATGGGACCTGCAGCTTTTCATCCTTATCCGAGAAGACTAGAGTGTCTAATTGCTTGCAGATGTCATAGCAAAGGCAGCACATTCTCCTCAGTTGTTTTGAGACCCTAAGTGTGGGTCCGGCCTGGGTCTTGAACCCCAGCCTCCCACACAGATGTCCGGTGCTCATCCACATGAGCTAACCAGGCAGCAGAGAACAGAGGCCACAAAATGATGTTTCAGTAGAGTGTGAGGGGAAAGTATTGGTATATGACCATTAACAACATAATATGTGCAAATCCTTATTATACAGTCATGTAATTATATGAAAAGTCATACCTCTACAAGAAATCCTTCACTCTGCAAATTTCTTAAGCACTGGAGAAACAACTAAAAGAAACAATGTATAAAATTAACAGAAATATCACTTAAAGCCTCTCTTCAGTGGAGATAAAAGCTGGTTACAATATCAGTGTTGGAAACTGCAATATAGTCCATCTTACAGTTGTGCACTTGGTTGCTAAGCCTCTGAACAGTAGCGAGGCTAAGGGTGACCTTGTTATGATACAAACCTTGCCGCTTATCATATGTAAACTACTTTGTTATTGTGCTAAGTGGATACTAGTCTCTGTCACAACAATGTCACTTTCAGCCTCACTCTAAATCAAAGGCTTGAGTACACAGCTATAAAATGGCCTATTGATCACTGCAAGATTTGTCTTGAAGTAGAATTCAGTTCTACTTACCTTTTTGATTATGTAGAGTTTTGATATATACACTGCCTCTGTGGACAAAAGTTCCCACATAGCTTCTTGCTGGTCTTTCTCTTTCTTTGTCATTGTCTGAAATAAATCAAAATAGATGAAAACAAAATCTACATACAACTATGAAAGGAACTGTAAAAAGAATACAAGACATTGCATGCAAATTGATCATGGCCTAGAACAAGAGACATTACCCCAATGCGCCTTTCATCTACAACTTCAGTCCAAGATGATTCCTGAAAAATAAATCGCACATTTTTGCAACATGGAAAACGTTCTTGATTATCAAAGCTGGCAAAGAATCACACTTCAGGTATTCTATATTTCTTTCACTTCCATCATTTGAGAGCTAATGCACCTGGTTGAAGACTGTACATTTATTTGTTGGTTGTTTGTGACAATTAAATGCTTAATCAACACAACATCACAATAAGATTTTGTTCACTATCCTCACTTGTTTATTCCAAAGAGTATTATAATTGTTAGATAATTCATGAAAAGATAACTTCACCAAGAGTGTTTACTTTAAAATAAACACTCTTGGTTTAATTATTCCTGTCATTTGTTCAGTGCACTATAAATACTTACAAGTTTAATCTGTTCTTCGATTTCATTCTTTAGCCCAGAGTCATAATCAGCACTATCCTCCAGACCGTACAGGGAATATCGATCTAACGAGTCTTTCAGAGTTCCCTGAAAAATAGCACATTGCATATTGCTATAAACTCACAGAAATCTGCAAATGAAGAGGTGTGTGATTTTTAAAGGCTTTTTTTTAAAAGCAAATTTATACAAATTGCACAAAAATAAACATGAAATAAGCCTTTGACAAGCCCTGCTCATTATTTCTCCATCAAGCACCCTCCCTGTGGGAGACACTCCATAGTATTATGATTTGCACTAGACTCCCCCACTATCAGTTTTTCAACATTGCGCTGGAGGAATTTAGTGATAGATAAGAGACTGCTGTCAAATGGCATACCTTAATGCTGGGTTTAGGTGGGTTAAACAATCCAGTCAAGCGACTGGCTGACTTTGGCCGTGGCACAGTGCCACCCCCACTAATATGAACTCCACCAGGAAGAACAGGACTTGACAGTGTAGGAGGCATGGTCCCTCCAAACTCTTTACCAAACAAAGATTCCATGTTCTTTTTGCCCTTTTGGGTCTAAAGCCAAACAAACAAACAAATGTATGCCACAAAATTAAAAAAAGTTGAATTGCAACCTGCAAACTTATTGAAAAATTTCCTTGATATTTTAAAATGACTTTACTTCCTATTGATTAAGGAATTCCAAAAACAAACTGGCTCTTTCGCAGCCTTGCACCAACTGTTTATAAAGTAGTATTTCTTGCAAAGGTGCTGAGGTGTGGAACAGCCTATTCCAAGATCTGTGTTCTAGAGCATCCTTACATGAATTCAAACACAACATGACAGGTTTTATCTTATTTTATTAACTAGTTTAGCCACACAAAATTAGATGCATTACCTGTAAACTATACTGAAGGAATTTCTTACCATATATCAATAGCTATAACTCAGTCAATCAATCCTTATAGTAAATTCCACCTGGAAGTGGAAGAGTAAAAAAAAAGCAACTCACATTCTTATTGAATTGCTGTAGGAGCTTGTCATCTCTTGAGTTCTCCCTCTCTCTGTCATCATCAAACCTTCTAATGTTGCCTTTCTCTTTCCCCTTTGTTGTAAAAGAACCAGACCGCGTCAGAAAGGATGAGCTCTTCGGGCGTGTGGGTGTTTCGTCTGAATTGTTCTTCTCCTCTGCATACGAGTCTCTCATGATATTGATTACTCTTTCATCCCCTTTAAAATCTTCATTGGCTGAAAACAAAATCATTAGAATCCTTTAGATTACATAACTACCTATTGTCTTTGAGTAAGATAAACAAGATGTGGAATACAGGGAGACTTTCTCAAGGTTTTTCCAATCTAAATTTCCCTCAACATATCAAGCTGTACAGCTAGTAAATAAGGCTTACATCCACTCCTTTTTCTACAAATTTCCTTTGTCTTTACCTCAACACATTTCATCTTGTAGGGAAGAAGCTGAAAATTCCAGTTTCTCAATGTTTCAATAATGTTAAAATAAATAATTTTTAACAATGGAAAAACCAGTTTTTTTGCTGACTAAATAATTCGTAATCACCTTTACACTCCCAAAATCTCAGTATCCTGTCTCCTTACTTCCCATTGTATACTCCTTACTAATTTTTCTGAGAGAATTGTTGGTAAATTAACTAATATTCCCCAACTTATACCTTTCCCTCTTCTCACTACCTTTCTGGCCAACAGTGCTGATATTGTGAGGAGGAATTTTTTTTTGGTGATTCCCGAGGGTGAAGGGTTAAAGATTAAACATTTCACTGCTTATGATTATCTTTCTTCACTAATAGCAGTTGTTTTCCTGCGAAAGCCCCTGTATCCATCTGATCAATTCTTCTCCGAAAATCAGAGTGGAAGTGCCAAAAGGCCAGTACATCTTACCTCTAACATGAAGAGTATTTCCACCCAGTGGAAAGGTATCAAATGCGAGTGGTAAAGGAGTATTAGATGAGTCCAGAAAGACAGAATGAGTTGAAAAGGAAAATTCCTGTGCTTCAAAAAGAGGTTCGATAGATTCCCTGAAATGAAAATAATTTATCAGTTCAAGTTATATATAATATATTCCAAGGACTCAAGAGATGTAACATAAGCAAATTACAACTTGTATACGTAAGAATGAATTTCACTGGTAAAAATAATTTTTTTAAAATTTAAATTGCATTACTTTCCCTCAAGGAAATTTGCAAAGTCCTCAAACGAAATATTAAGACTGAACTAGTCTGATATCATTTTAACAATATGCAACATACACATGGGATAAAGTTCCAGCAAAACATTATAATAAAGGACAAATAAGTCAGGACAAGTAAACAACAAAGTTTGTCAACAAAACAACATGTCACACCATGGAGAAGAGAGTATTACACTTAACCCTTTAACTCCCAAGATCTGATTGTTAATTCTCCCCTCTAGCTGCTGCACATTCACTTCTGGGAGTTAAAAGAGTTAACACCCTAACATCAGCATCCATATTCTCCATAATTTTCTCTATAAATTTCCTTTGGTACTGACAAGGAGAATTAATGAAACAATCAAAAGCTTCTTTATGGATGGTCATTTTGTTTTCTTATTCACAATATGAATGATTTAGCGTTACTGTTGGATAAATTGGATGCTGGTTGCTCTTAGGATTTAGAGGGTTAATAACCTCAACAATAAAGTTATAAAATTGGAAATACATGAAATCATGAATGGCTTAAAATTAAACTGATTTACCTCAGAGACTTTCCTTTCAAAGCAGGCACTACTTCTACATGGGATTCTCCACTTTTGTTGTCAAAAAATTTAATGCTAAAAAATTCTCTCCCTGGATCCTATGGAAAACAGAAGAAATGTTAAAGATGTATTCATCTGGGAGAGATTTATGACCATAAACAGTTAGAGATGCCCCCATAAAGTGTTCCTGTATTAACTTTTTTTGAAGGACTGCCTCAGATGATAGAGATTGCCATAAAAAGGTCATACAAATCGAATGAAACAAAACTATTGTTAGATGGTCATTGAAGGGGTTATAAGCCTAACTGATACCTTTCCCAAATGGCAGTAAATGGCTCATTACCAGCTTGTGCTAGAAGCCTGATAAAAACATGGTAGCACAAGACATTCAGTTTTCAAGATTTTCAAGCACTGTTTGATGCATCCACAAAAGGAAGTAATTTCAAACAACTTGGTATATATGCACTTCCTAAGTTTCACATTTAAGTAATTTAAGCAATCTGAATTTTTCAGCAGCTAATTATAATAATGAAAAAGTACAGTATAGTCTGCTGAAAAGCTAAAACTGTCAAGGCAATACACTGCCGTGTACCTGTCAGTGTAACGGAAAAATAATTTTATAACTTTTCAACTTTAGGGCTCAAATACATACTCTAGGATGCAATCAAATCAAATACACTCATCCAGTGTTTTCTAAAATATCTGTGGATCTGCCTGATAAATCATTTTAACGACATGTTGAAGATGATAAAGAAAAGGTTTTTCACTTCAAACTCACTTCGGTGTTGTGGCGTCTTGGTTTTTTCTTCGCCGCCGCATTAATTTTAAACATCCGTTTCCCAGAGGAATATCCTCTGTTCTTCTTTTCCCTGTTGGAGAAGGAAATATCATAACAAAAGAGAGTTACAGCTGTTTGTTTTAAGGTAACTTGACCACAATTTCTACCATCAAACATGTCTGATAATGAATTTAAGTTAAGTTGTCTGATATCTAAAATGTATTTGATATTTCCTGTGAGATAATTAACTTAGAAACAGTAATAAGAAAAACATTGTTTCTCTTCACTCTTCACAAAAGTAACTGTCATTTTAAAAACTCCAGAGATTAAAATTCGGAGCCCAGTTTCAATTTTGTTTCATACTTATGACTAAGTGAAGATAACCAGAAGACTGTTTGAATTAAGAAAGCAAATGGAACAAAACCTTCTGTTAATTCCAGCTAATTCCAAATATTCTCTGTTGCATCTCACCACACCAAAAACAACACCACAATGTTTTAATTAGGTAAAACATTTAGTGCTGTCATTTACAAATATAGGCTTGTTCATATTTTGGGGCTAAAATGAATTGCCATACTTATTTAAAGCCATTATTCAATATTGGTTTAATATCAAAATTCTCCCCCATAATACAATATTACTCCTTTGACGAATTACAGATCACTACTCAGACTTTTTTATCATGAGCTGCTTAAATGCAAAAGAGATTGCCAACAATTTCTGTTTCATCAGTAACAACTGTCACCTTTGTACATTATACAATAGAGTAAAAAACTGCCGACCAAAGTCAAGGGTAGTAAGCAAATAATAGATGCAGTTAAGTATGTTCCTCCCTTAGATTCACTCCTTTAATCAACACTTTATGAAAAGAACCATGCTTCTCACTTTTAAGATAACTAAATCAGAGTAGTCTAAGTTGATATCTGATTGTGTTAAAAGAAAAGCTTGCCTGAAAAGTAAGTGACCTTTTGACAATTCTACAACTGATTATGTTAAAAATATAGATTACTATATCATCGCATATTGGCAACTTAATATTGGCTGAAAATAAATTAGCTGTAAGCACAATTATAGTTAAGTACATAATTTTAACAACATCAGCGGACCCTTTACACTTGAACATCAATGCACATATTCTCCAAACTGTTCTCTACAAATTTCCAATGGTGCTTACATGAAGAACTTCTTTAATGATCAAGAGCTTCTTTAGTATGTGACAATTTCCTTCATTCTTGTTACCGTGATGTTTGACTCAAGATTATATTGTAAGGAGAACTGAGATGCAAGTTGCTCTTAAGGATCAAAGGAGTTAACAAATGAGAATGTCATTCAAACTAACACTAAGTGTAATGAGTATTAATTTGCGCCACTTACACTTTTTGTTCAGATTCAACATCCTCCTCATTTCCTGAATCTGAACCTGCCGAATGGCTTGATGGCGTCCTAATAATATTTGTACTTGGCCTCTCTGAAGAGAAGAACACCAAAATGACAAATTTAAAATTATAATCAGTTCTCAAATGTTTTATTAAAATTATTGTCCCCTTTCAAACTCCGCACAATTAAACCCTTTACACCCTAACTTCAGTATGCATATTCTTTATGTTCCTTTTTAAATTTCATTAGGTGCTGACAAGGAGAATTTCCTTGACAATCAAGATCTTCCTAGGTTGTTGATCATTTCCTTTATTCTCATGACCTTAATATGCGATTCAGGGGTGATATTGTAAGGAGAAATTAGATGCTGGTCACCTTTAGGGGTTAAAGGGTTCTTAGTATCCTGGTGACATATATACCAACAAAGGGCTCATCATCTGCCTTCATGATCTACATAACAATTCTCTTCACTGTGTCCCATACTTTCATTATAATTTTAGCTCTGAGATTTTTGAATTACATCAAACAATATACCCTAGTTGATATTTTCCATCACCTAATCTCCTTCTGGCATGAAAATGTATTTATAGTATGGAAGAGAATGTGACTCTGTCACTCTATTTTAAGACAATTTGAGTGTTAAGCGGTATCAGCTTGAAATAACTATTTGCCAAGGTATGGAGACACCAGAGAAATAAGAGAAATAACAAAAAAATGTACAAGGATGGCTAAGGATAGAGAACATTTCCCCATTCAAATTAATGGACTTGAAAAATGGAGGCTAAATTATTCAAGATGCACAAAATTGTCAAAACTCCCAACCCATCAACTTCTTAACTAGCAAGTTGTCAGGGGAATGTTGCACTAAACAGGTGGCAGGGAGCGAGGAGGGTAAACCCTCCTGTTAGACTAATATCCCGTGCAGTAGAGGTACCACTATTTATACTAAAATCATTTCATGCCACAGAAACTGGTAAACTGTGGTCACTGTACAAATCAGTCTGATCTCCAGAGCTTATATGTCAACTACATATACAGCCTGTACATGTAGCTTACATCATTCAAGAAAATGAAAGAATACCAGCACATTTCACTCTATTTTTTCAACAAATTTAGGTAAAACACTTACCCGGGACATCGAACCGTGCATGGTTAGAACCAGCTCCAAGATGGTGGACTTCATCACATCTCAAACACAACAATAAAGGATTTCCGTAGTTTGTTTCCTGGCAGTCTTCATGATGACAAACCTAGTTTGAAAATTATTAGATAAAAAAATTTGTGATGATACGATCAAAGTGAAAAATAGCACCCTCTTTAGATGTGCATATCTTCCAAACTAGGCAATTCTACAACTATAGAAAAATAAAATTTAATTAACTATGTCACATGCTTGATGCAGCCAGCCAATACACAAAAGCTTGACCGATGCGTGTTCATTCTCTGAACGCATTTACTTTTTATGGACACTAGGTACTTCCAACTTTATATTTTACCTTAAGCAATGCTTTCATGATGCAGTTGATAAATTCTACATGAGGATGTAGCTTTTGAAATTTTTTTTGGCAAATACTACACGAGAAGATATCACTCCTTGCACATTTGAGAACAATGTGATATCAAACAATAGAGAATCTGCAGCAACAACTGAACCAGTGCAGTTCAGAAATAAACAAAACCTCATGCTGGGAGCTAAAGGAGGGATGTAGTACTCTAGCTAAAACTGGCTATGGAATGACGTAAAAGTAATTGTGAAGTATGTCAAAGATGCAATTGGTAGTGAATGAAAGAATGGTAAATAGAGAAAATTCTGGAATGAACACTAAGGAATCACTTGATTGCTTATAAAAATCACAGCAGACACCGTGATTATTTCCAAAGAAAAGCTTTTATGTATGTAATTGAGAATTTTTTGATGTGCTAAAAGAAACCCACAGAGATAATTTTAGCACACAACTTTCTAAACATCACTCTTCTCGGCGGGAAGGTATCCTTCCACCATTTGTCATTTTAGAAAAACATAATTTAAAATAATAAAAACAAGGAGTGCACTCTCCCAAGGCAGGAGAGAATTATTTTGTCTACCATAATCTCGCACAACATTGTTTGAATTTTCCAAATTCTTCCCTTTCTGGGAAAACAATAGACAACTTGTGCATGTGCAGACAAGTTACAAAAGGAAATTAACACAGATTTCTTCTGGTTAACCAAGGTCACTGCTATCTTCTATAAAACAAAGGAAGGCAAATTGAATTAGAATGAATAGATGATTAAAATATTGAACTAAGCATTGAGATTTGAAGTGCGACTCATGCTAATTCTATTTGTCTCATGGAAGGCTAAGAAGGATCTGTACGATAAGACACTTAAAACTTCACACCCAAAACACATACAGCCTCCTACATTGAAAACACAAAAACTGCAAAATAGCTTGCTATGAAAAAAGTATTTTGCCGAAAATCATAGCATGTGAGACAAATTACAAGACATTTTTCAAGGACTTTGCATTTTAAAACATTTTCACTACATTATTGTAAATTCTTTGAATTCATAAACTAAGAGTAGCCATTGTTTTTTAAAGCACACCAAAAGAGGAAAATTTACTTAAAGCAACTGGTTTTGGAGCACTCCACAAGATCAAAGTTTGAGGTTAAATCTATTTCAGCCTTAGACTAGGTAACAGATAAATTTAGATTGGTTTTGGTGGGTAAAAATGGAGTATTTTCAATTAAACAAAAAAAAAATTTTAATGACTTAAAAAAAAAAAAAAGTTGATGATGATCACATGATCAAAATCATGCTTGAATTCATGTCTCCTGAATTCAAAGTTAGAATGTGTTGGACCCTTGTCTGGTTAAAGCTCATAGAAAAAAAACATTTTAACCCTTTACCTCCCATGGGTGACCACCACAGAATTTCTCCTTACAATATCAATACAATATCAAACAGACAAGAGATGAGAATGAAGAAAAATATCTGTTAAGAGATTCTAAGTTGATCTAATACCAAATTCTCTAGACTAACATCACAAGAACTGTATAGGAGATAGTAAAGAGAATTACTGATGAGATCTTACGAGTTAAAGGTTAAGAAACATGCAATCCCTTAACTTTCTGTAGTAAAATTGTAGAATATTTTATCTGTTACTTATACTGGATAAGTTGAACAACCAAACTCAAAATCAAGAAACCAAAACAAAAACAAGTCTTCAGATGCAGAGAATCAAAGATGGAAAATTTACACAGCCCACACTGCAAAATAACTTAAATATACATCACTTCTGTGTTAATAAATCTAAATCTTATTTTCACAAAAAGGTGTATTAGAAATATCACACAAAGCACTTGTGGGTTTCAAATTGGAAGCTATGCAAATTCATCTTAAACATCCAATATGAAAACACTTGAACAATATCAAATGAATATAATCAGTAGCATTCTTATTTCTTGTTTTCAAAGTAGATACCAAACATATTCAGAACTAAAAATAAAGAGACCTGGTTAGAGAAGTCCATGTTTAAATTAACAAGAGAAAAGCTAACACCTTTTTGTTTGCCTGTCGCCACAGATTGAAATGTTGTTAAAGAAGTTATTAACTTGTCATGACCTTTGATATGTGCAAAGATAATCTCTAACCTTTTGTCACAATCATTTTCACAAAAATGAAAATTTCACCGCAAGAAAAACAAATACACCATTTAGATACAACCTAAACCACTGCGTATTCTACTAATACAAAGTTAGAGCTGATTTAACAGGAAATCACATCTGATTTTACTTCTTTGTACAAATACCTCTATGCAAAAAAGTATTGGTTGTTGATATTTTAACTACTGAAAATAGGAAACTTTCCATACATTAATTACATTGTATGATTGTATTTCTTCCAGTCAGGAGGCAATAACTATTGACATCAACATAACACATATACCCAGAGACACAATCTGTAGTAAATTATTTGTGTGTAATAAGAATTATACCCTGATGATGCACATATCTTAGAAATTAAAATTTCATTGTGAGTTATATTCTATGGTATATCTCAAAACCTCCACAGTAAAGAACAAAAATCCATGCTACACCCTGCTGAAGAACCTCTTACGCTAATGAAGATATGACAATAGTTGGTAAACTTTTGTATTAGTTAAATTTAATCCTCAAGAGCACTACATGTGTTTGGACTTAATGACTTCTAGTGGATCCTTGATATACATGCCTCTAGAACTAGACCAGATTCAATGGTTTATCTCTATCTAAACTACCGATAGAATTGTGAAATGCGAGCAACTGCTTGAAGCAAATTTGTTAGTATAGTGGAATGAAAAATAATTAACATTTTCCAGACATGGCTGTATGAAAACAACACAATGAAAGTTAAAGCACTGAAAATTTTCAATATTATTTCAACAATGTCAAAACAAGTTGTAATTTTTTTTTAAAGTTCATCTTCAAAGCGACTGTTAACTAACAGTTTTCCTCTTCCTTACCACCAATGTTCAAAATCTGTTAGTGAGATATACTAGTTAAAGATCTGAAGCTTCATGGACAAGTTACATCTATGATTGCTTTTAGATTCTAAGTAATGAATCCAGTGCATTCACAGATTTGGCTTTCAGTTCATGATAATCTCATTGTCAGGAGACAAAAGCTGTTCTCTGTGCCCAATTTGTAATAACTTCACAACTGACAAAATGAGATTACCGCTATATAGGTGTGTAAAGAACAGTAATTTGCGACACCCAATTTGCTCAAATTAAAGAGATAAAAATATGAAATGACATAACAGTTAATCCTGTAACATTCTTATCCTGTCTAACCAGTAACACTTGGTTGCAACAAATTTGCCTAAATGATTACTCACTCATATTATGTCACTCCAGTTGTTTAAAGCAAAAAACTACCTCAGTTTATGTTTATCCTGTACAGGAGGAACCCTACAATTTAGTTTCCAGAGTATGTAGCATATAGTGGCAAAATTGTAGAGATCTTGTACAGTTTACTTTGATAGCTGTACAAATCCAGGTAATTAAACTACACCCAAAGGTGATTCAATATGATAAAATATCCTGAGAACCATTTTCTACTAAAGTACTAAAAATCTGGAGAGATTTCAACATCTTGGAAAATTTATGACCACTTTAAACTCAAATATCACTCATAAATATAGCATTATTACAGTAATGATATCGCAAATGCTTTTGTAATTAATTTGTACAGTAACACATCAATAAAATCTGACAAAATTCAAGCTATATGGGAGAAGAATCAATCTAACATTTATAGATACTCTGCCAAAGAAAATTTTGAAGAAACTTGATCCGAATGTAATTACAGGTAATTTAATTAAGAGAGGGTGTTAATAGCATAAAAATGTGACTAAATAGAGAAATATTCACTTTTCTGTACAATAGATAAGTCTGGAAATTAGATTTCTACGAATTTGTCTTGTGGTTTTCGTTTGAAGTAGATTACATCCATGCTCTCAACCAAAGAAAACATGACATCGATTGATAGCATGACCCGAGATGCGACAACGCCGAAATATGAGTACCAAGATGATAGACAAACCCTTGCTGGTTCTTAAAATAAACCCTAGAGATTGTTTTAAGATTTCTCTCATGTGAGCAATTAAAACACCCAGCAAATAAACGCGTAAATTATTCCCCAACCTAAATCTATCCATTGACATTAATAGAGATGAGATATTTTATCATGTTGTTTATCCAATAAAAGTAAATAATGCAGCGACAATAATACCGTGATTCGATTGAAAAACAAGACTGATTTCTCAGCTAACGTTGAAAGAGGAGCACTCGATCTAACTATAATTCTGTGACAATCCAACAGACTGTGGTTCTAAGCTAACAGACATCACGTGAAATACATATGCAAGTCAAGAGGGGTCGATATATTTTCAAAATTGTCGAATTGCAACAATTTGAACCGCAAAACGAAATCAAATACTGACGTGCTGTTATTTTTACAGATTAAAAAATAGAGCTTACCTTAACGGCAAAATCCTTCTCCGTTTGGACGTTGCTCGAGCACAATCTGCCCTGACAAAGCCTTCTTTCTCCTATGATTTTGAAACGGTTCAAGGATTGCATCAAACAAAGGCCTTTATATATTAAGCTTGTATTTGACATATTTGGGCGCCTTTGCAGCAATAGAATCATTCCGGATAAATACACTATGTGCGAGAAATTCTATACCCGCTGCGACTGATTACAAGAAATCACGTTCCTTAAAAACGCAGCCTTCGGTTTTCCATACAATTGGGTACACAAGGATTAAGTATTTAGGTTTTTTTAAAAAAATTATCTCGGTAGGCATGCACTAAACACTAACGAACGACCCATTTTCGCATTGGATTCGAAATACATTTTCTATTTGCATAACGTATCAAAGACATAAAAAAAAACATACTGGACACTTTTTCGGCGTGCATAATCACACTCCTTTGTTCAACGGCCTCCAGAAACCGTGGAATAAAATAGATTTGTGTACTCAATCGCTTCACAACTACAAGCCATCTTCGAATTAACTCGATCAAACAATCAACTTATGTCATTTTAGACGCTTTCCCGACGCCTCGGGGATGTTATGTCGATGAATATTCACAATTTTAAGACAGCTTGATTGAATTAAACCCAATTTCAACGTTCCTAACCAAGAAATATTGTTAGATTCGGGAAGAAATAAACAAATATCGAAAACTCTATTTGATATATTAACGCTTACATATGCGCATAGCACTTTCCTGTTGCACTTTCACTATGTAAAGACCACAAAGAATTCTATCGAGGTTTCCTATTATTCAAAAGACGTTAGTTAAACAAATAAATATAAAGAAACCATGTTAAAAGACGTACCTTTATCAAACTGGCCGTAATCATCCCGACCTGCGGAAAACAAGAGTAGAGTCACGTTTACAGTTGATGGGACGCTGCACACCATAACAGCTATGCGGTTCGCCGGGCAAAACTGACACGAGATTCTCGCAGAACAAGTAACGTTCGGCTAATTCAAAACATAGAGCACTTAATAGAACACTTAAATCCTTTCTGACACGAAAAGGCTTTATCGATCCGTTGTTTTGCAAAGATAGCACGATTTCAAACAAATCTGACAATTTCAACAACAGCCGAAGGTGTGCAACCCTATTACATCAGTAACTCCTTCACATAAAAAGCAGATAGTAGTGAAAGACCGGCCTAATAGTCCTCACCGATTTCGGGCATATCGTCAAGAAGTAAGCCCAAACGCTACATCCGCTCTCATTCCTTAGGCGGCAATAGTAAATTAAGCCGGACTGTCTTCAGGAAGGAATAACGTCGGCATAAAAACTCCACAGGAACTTATTTTTCCCCCTCAAAACAACAAATCCTTTCGACCGCTCTCAGTGTCTATGACGGCTCCTCGATCATCGTAGATTAGAAACGGTAATTCGAACCCCTTGCACGTGCTTGGATCGATTCAGTAATGAACTCTTAAGCAAGTATGGGTGTCTCTTGCACGTTCCGAGACAAAAGTGTTGAGTTACTCGGTGAAAATGACCGAGATGCGACCACAACTTGTCACAAGATTCCAACATGCAAATTCTGAACAAAACGGGATGGACCTGGCGCGATGACGTCATGTATAATGATCTGATAATTACGAGTTCGGAAGAACCAATCAAAACACACGATGAAGTGTTCGCTGGACAACCTTTCAAATAAACATAACAGTTTTTGCGAATAAAACGAACTCAAACACTTTCTTTTATCCCATATAGTCAGTCACGGAAATCAAGATCAACGGTTGAAATTTCAAGATTAAAAATGTTTGACTTGTAACGAAAGAAAAACAGCCCTAGCTTGGCAAAAGAAAGTATAAAATCATTCGTGCACTCTTTCTGAACAGATCACAATGCCTTTGGTATCTCATTGAAGGCTTGTGGGAACAATTTTATGCTCTGAGACACTGTTGAAAATGAAGCATTGCGCGGTGATGTAGCTGACATCAAAAATCTGGAAATCCTAAATACAAAATGATTATTCACTACAATATTCGTGAGTACATGTTTCTATGCAAAATATTTCCATGATGGTTAGATAGTTAGCTTATATTTACAATGCCTGGTCACTGAAGAGGCTTTAAATTGCATAATTAAGTTTTTTGTCCTCATTCTTTCTAATAAGAAAGCGTTGTGCACAGCATTGTTTTTCCAGACAAAATGTCCAAAGTTAATGAATTGCGAATCAAGAGGACAGAGCTCACAAAAATACTACTGTAGACAGGTAGAAATGTTTTTAGCGAAGCGAATTAATTTCACGTTTTTTTTAATTTTGTAAACTCGCAAACAACCTAATAGAGGGTACAAAAATGTTTCGAATATCGACGAAAGGCTAAATGGGTTTTTTGATTTACGTAAGTACTACTAATCGATGTTAATTAAAACTGTAAGCAGTTCAGTGAACTAAAATGAAAGTGAATGTTGGGTCAAGGTCTACATAGTTTTATAGGAATGCGTTCGAGGACCTTCCAGAAAAGAAAACTACTCATTTCCAGCCAAGTTTCGGTGCGTGTGAAATCGATACCATAACCTTCTCAATAAGCCGAAGAATTCAAGGCTAAAAAAATTCTCGCATATTTTCGCTCCACGACTGCAAAACAAATATTTTACTATTTGAATATTCAATACCATTGACAGTCTTGTTGATCTCGACAAATCCATGTATGGCGAAAGATTGTTGATCGCGGGCGATCGTTCCGCCCAAAAACAAAAAGTTGAAATGAGATCGCTGTACCACATCAAACGAACTCAAACAAATCTCATTTAGTTATTACGGAATACAGTACCGGTTTGTATAACATTTGCCATCATCAGACAGCTCGAGCGGAAGCTGAAACACTTATGAACGACATGACCTTGGCAGGTATTTCTCGGCCGATAACTCATACTGTTTTCAATCGATTGCTCAGATAAAATATCGTTCAGCATACTTCCGTTATTAGTTTGTTTTGTTTATCTGATATTTGTATTTGAATTCACACGAGGAATTCTTAACGAGCCTAAGTCAATAATGATCGAAATCTCTATTTACTTGAAGTTTGCACTTCCCGGCACCACCCAGGGGCTCGACTGACCATCTTACATCATTGCGGGGGTGGGGTGGGGTAGGTCTCGCAATGAACAGTGTCTCAGTGACAATGTCACTGTGGTTTGGGTTAAGTACCGAAAAGAAAGAAGCAACGCTTTTTATTATGCTCAGTTATTGTACTAATGGTATCCTTTCTTGACGAAGATTGTTTCAAATCAGGGAAACATTTAATTTCTGCTAAGGAAGTACGATTTTGTGAAATTATGATGACTGAAGGAAAAAGAAAAATTCACGCCTCAATTATTTCTTTCGCTCTGCCCCCACGCACTTAAATATACACCTTGAAAAGGAAGCATTATACCTACACTTACTTGAATTACACATCGCAAATCCTTTTCGGAAAACCATTAGAGAGAGAAGAGGGGGTGCAAACACAAAAGGATAACTTTAACCCACATTGAACAATTGATTTTAGCTGTGATTACGGTTTGTAAATTTTAATCGTGTAATTATCAATTTTAATTAACCCCATACTTTCTTGAAATGTTTTGCTAGACGAGCCTGAAGTCATAACGAACAATCTAGAGTTTTTAATCGTTTAAACAAGGTTTTTCTGTGGTTTTCCTAAATAACAGCGTCGCTCCCCGGGAACGTGCAATTTGTCTGATCTGTAAATGAATTTCCTTCCCACAAAGAAACGTATCTTTTCAATTTCTTTCAATTCAACGCATGGGCTCGGTTTCCGCGGTTGTCTGACGTCTAAACAAAAACTGGCGATCACAATTTGACTCGATGCCAGAACAAAAGAAACGTTATATTAAAAAGAAATGAATTAATCCCCTAGCTTTCAAGCTATCTTATGGTTTTTACTTAAACAGTTAAATATAAACTTCAGTTAAGGAGCGATGTTTTTTCAGTCATGCCACGAGCGCAGGATGAGTCGAACCCCAGACCAAATTGATCCGGAAAGCACAAAGCAATCAGCACTTGCGAAAAACAATTTTCCCTTTTCTAAAGAGATTCCTTTGAACGTTAGAAAAGCCTTCCCTCCAATCCTCTTTTATAAGAGTGATTTAAACGGGAACCGGGAGCCCATGATGGAACTACCACCAACTTAAACGGAACTACTATCTCACTTTGCGCACAGCGGCTCGAGGAAGACGTCATTTACACATAGGCGAAGATTTTTGCGCGACTTGAAGGAAAACCCTTTCAAACTGCATGCAGAGCCCGTGGACGTAAAAGTACCCCACTGCTCCACTCACGTTCCTGGCGGTCACGCAAACCATTGAAAAACAACTGAGCAAGGAAATACCTAGTTTTTCAGACACTGAATTATCAACATTGCGACATTCGAAAATGACATATGACCTATGCCTTCGCAAGGATAGAATCGGAAGTGTTGCGTGAGCGTTGGTGTATTTTCTGTATTTTTAGCCTTCAATCCGTGTTATAGTGTAAAATATCACAGCATCGTGTTCGATTTAAATCCTTTAAGAGGATTTAGAGCATTCTTCAATAGAACACGAGTATACATTGGGGGACTCCGCCTCCAGGAGATGGCATCGGAATTTTAATCTCTCGCGGTTAGGAGGAATTTAAATAAAAATCCTAATTCCAACCATCATTCATCGGGTTGATGAGTTTCAAGAGAGATAACGGTCTCTTTTGATTGCATTCTAGGTAGAAAAACTCTTAAATATTTACCATGACAAATCTTCCCAGGGGGCTTTACAAAACGCCATGAGTGTCATTTTTCTGTTGCTGATTACCCAACTACATGAGGAGGGATGGGTAGGTAGGGGCAAAGCAAGAAAATCTTACATGGGATCATGGGAACGCTCCACCAGGCTTAAAATAACCTATTTTGGCTCAAAAGGCACTCCTTTATCCTTTATTGCATGAACTACCCCCGCGTAGGAGGGGAACCCCAACCTTAATCAAACTTGGCTTTAAATTCATGGCTCACCTTTAAAACCTGAGGGAAAAGAAGAGCGCAGTGAATTTATTACTTACTTTCCCTGTCACACCTGTTTACCCCCGTTCCGACCATACCACCCCTCATGTTTTCCATAAGGATCCTACCTCTAATACAACCGGTTCGATGCTCCCGCGGACGCCAGAGGCCAAGTACTTAGAAGGGGGGTAGCTCTCACGTCCCGCCGCTATCCGCGGCAGGACGTGCGTTGGTGGTCGTATCCAACGCAGGAGAGCTTAGGTCGATTACCTCTTCAAATTCAAATGAAGAAGTACTGGTGATAGTGATGGTGGAAGCTGGTGATGGTGAAGCCGACGTCAACTTTGATGACGCTTGTTCGCAGGGGCAGCGCTCAATACCGGAAGTCTCCGCTATGATGGGGTCAACAGCGAGCGATGGCTGCGGTTTACAAAACATCTTGGCATTGTCTTCATCGTAAGATTGAACCTCAACTTTTTGCACCTTTCCGGGTGAAGGCGAAATTCTCCTAGAGGAACGCGGGCTCCTTCTCAAGGCGCTCAGCCATCTTCGTGGGGTATTTTTGCCTGGATTGGTTGACTCTACCGGACCAGAGTCGCAGGGAGAAGGTGAAACCCTTGCAGAGGTACGGCGGCTCCTTCTCAAGGCGCTCAGCCATCTCTGTGGGGGACTGTTTCTGAGACTGGTTGACTCAACGATACTGGAGTTGCTGGAAGTGGACAATTGTGCGGAATCACCCGTGGGTCTTTCAGAAGGAGGCAAGGCGCTTGGAGACTGACAAGTTATTCGGTCAATGCTTCTCGACAGGTGCTCGAGTGATCTGATAGCATTTCGAAGGGCATTTCTTCTTGAGTAGCCTTGGAGTCTCTGAGCAACCGTGCACATAGACGAGAGTTTTCTCTCGGCTGAATCACCCACATTATCGTTCTCGTCAATCCCACTGCAAGCAACTGAATCTTCTACCGAATGACGCCGAACGGGTGCTCTATGGTGCACTGGAGTTGGTGGATGGTAAAGATGGCTCAGAGTGAGAGAATGGGACTTATCGCTGATGCTAGTGGCTCGATTCGCGTCTGTACCAGTCGAAGGAGGACCACACAAAAGATGGCTGATTGAGGACGAGTGAGATGGAATGTTGTGACCAATGCTTCCCTCTGCCAACAGGGACGGGATTTGCGGGTCAAGTGAGTCAGGTACCTCTCCAGGACTGAGTATTCTAGGCGAAAATGAGGCTAGATCACTAATAAGCCAGTCGGGTAAGTAATCAGTAAGTTTCTCTAAGGCGCTGTCGAACTCCTCATCTGAAGAACCACAGACTGGATTCCGACGTAGGTCCTCCAACGACCCTCGAAGCCGCGCCAGGAATGATGAAACGCTGCCAGAGCTTGCACTGTTGTTATCTTCCACATCCTCGCGGTATTTATTCTTGCTGTCGCATTTTGAGGCGCTTAGGAATAATTCCTCTCCAGACCCTGAAGTCACGGTATGTCCCACTCTCTCTGATTTCGCCAAGGCCTCTTCCAATCGACTCTTTAAATCACTACAGGTGCGTCTCGCTC